TTTGGCCTGAATGATAGCAGCATACTGCATATTCAAAATTTTGGGATACAGCTGAAGCCAGCTTAGAGGAATACTTAAAGCTTTAAAAGTATATTTATTAGAAAAGAAGAAAGGGTGCAATAAGCTGAGCATTCGTTTCATAATTGGGAAAAATACAGCAGGTTAAACGTAAAAGAAGTAGAAGGAAGTACTAAAGGTAAGAGTAGAAATGGATTTAAGACCCCTGAAAACCATCACAAAATGAAGAGAATCAGTGTATTGGCTGGCCACCGCTGCATTTTAGTGAGCTGCCCCAGGAGCTTCTGTTAAAGCGGCCGCCATGCGCTCAGCTCCTGCTTCTCTGTGCAGGCCGGTCGTTGAGGCTGGGCTCACCACAGCAGTTTCGGTCGGCCCTGCGGCCAGCTGCGGCTTAGCCAGGCCCCTCTGCTCCCGCTAGTGACCTGTCTGCGGGCTGCTGTGGGTGGGGGCGAGATTGCTTGTCTTTCATTCTCTAGTGGGTTAGTCTGAGACTGTCACATGGGAATAACAGGGCCTCAGAGAGGAAGTACACATAAGACTGAGACTTAGGCTTTTAACACATATATTATTCTTTTCACACATTGTATTGGAAAGCCAGTCACCGTGCTATTACCAGATTCATGAGGTGAGAGGGGCTGCTGAATTACACTGCAAATGACATAGGTTACTTTTAGGGATGAATGGGTCGTTGTGGTCATTTTTGAAATCAGTCCACCCCTGTCAACAAAAGAAAAGGTACATTCGTTGTAAAGACTGGAAGGACCTGATCAAGAGAAGGGACAGCATAGATAGCCAATCAGGATTGAAGTGGGTCCATTGTTACAGATCCTATAGATACGAAGAAGAAAAGTCTACGAAAGCTTTATATCAACAAATTTGAAAATTTAAACTATATTGACATATTTCTACATAAACATAAGTTACCAAAATTGATATATGAAGGAATAGGAAATCTGAATTAAGTAACAGAATCCATAATTGAAAACCTGAACAGAGAAAAAAAAACTCTAGACCCAGGTGCCTTCACCACTGATTTCTCTTCAGTATGTAAAGAAGAGACAGCACACGTTAGCCTCTACAAGCCATTCCAGAGAGTTGAAAAAGGGGATTACATCTCAGCACATTATGGGTCTAGAACAATCGTGATGCCTAAACCCCGAGAAACATGAAAAAGGAAAATTACAAGCCAGTTCCATTTCTGAATGTAAATTTAAAGTGCCAACAAACTGAACCTACTGATTTATAATAAAAGATAATGCATCATGATCAAGTTTATTGTAGAACTATAAGGGTAGTTTAACATTTGATAATGAATTGTAATCCATTGTGTTACCAGAATAAAGGAGAAATATGATTGTCTTAATAGATGGTGAAAAAATGTGATACATTTAAACATCCTCTCATGACTAAAAATAAAAACTCTTAGTGAACTAGGGAATAGAATGGAATTTTCTTCATCTGCTCAAGTATAGACAGATAACTTCAGACTTCATAGTGGCCTGCTGAAAACTTCATTTTTGAAATCAGGAGCGAGTCAAGGATAACATACCTTATTTGACTTTGAACTCAAGATGTGCTGGCCAGTGCTGTAAGGATGGCCAGAAAAAGAAATTAAAAATATGATTTGACAGTTATATATTTTTTCTTTTTTCTTATTTGCAAGTGATACGAATCTTCACCAAAAGGATCCAAAAGAATCTACAGAAAAATTAGAATGAAGAAACAGAGTTGCTGGGTATACTGTATGATAAAAAAGATGAATTATGATTTCACATGTAAAAAAAAAAGAAAAATATGATTTACAGTAGCAAAAATGAAGCCCTAAATGTCTTGGAATAAATCTAACAAAAACAGAGGCACACTAAGAAAGCTTTGTATTCTTGAGAGAAATCAAAAAACACTTATACCACATTCATGATTCTGAATATTGTTATAATATCCCAATGAAAGTTATTGCTAGAATCATTTTAGAAATTGACCACCTATTTCTGAAATCTGTATAGACACACAAAGGCTGAGACACCTTTGAAAGAGGAGCAAGGTGAAATAACATGCTATCCTGTGTATTAAGATTTTGAAAATAAAGTTACATTAAATGATAGTGAGATACTGAGCCAAGTAGATTAATAAGAGAACCCAGAAGTAGACCCATATATATAAACATGTATAGATGTTAGTTACGACAAGAAATAGCATTGCATTGTAGATCAGGGGAAAGGATAGTCTCTTCAGCAACACGTGGGACAGTTGGGTATCCACGTGAGAGAACAGGAGAAGAGGAGGTGGTTTTCTCATCACGGACATCACTTTCTGGCACACTGTGGACATAAATGAGAAAGTCATGACAGTAAAGCTTCTGAAAGTTAATACAGAAGGAAGGGTATCTTGATGACCTTGGGATGGAGAAAGACTTCTTTTAAGACAGCAGCATTAAAATTATATGTAATTTAATTCAATTCAGTCTGGTTAAATTAAATCATCTTAAGACACCATTAAAGACCAAAATGGCAAGCCACAGGAAGGGAAATGGTATTTGCCGCACGTGTGACTGCAAAGTGGAAATCAGTAAGAAAGCAAAACAACACAATATAGAATAGTCTGAAAACTTCGCATGTGCTTCAAAAAATATACATCTGAATCACCAAAAACATAAGAAGTATTGTATCAGAGTGAAATCCTCACCTCTTTTGGGAATGTAACTGTGGATGACCGATTTAGAAAGTAGTTTAGTGCTGTCTACTGAAGGAGTTTTCGGGCGTTTTCCGGGAGATGGTGAAGGACAGGGAAGCCTGGCATGCTGCGGTCTATGGGGTGGCAAAGTGGGACACGACTAAGCCACTGAACAGCAGTCTCCTTTACCAGCAGTCTTTTCCCTAATGGGACAATCCTTTGTCCTGCTTTAGTATGTACACTCTTGCATGCAAGAGACTTCCTCAAGTTAGAGTATTCCTCAAGTCTTTGGTGAACTTTGTCTATACATACTTAAGTATGAAGCACAGAATTGAATTAGAAGCTCGTATTCTTGAACTGGGCTTGCTCATTGCAGGGTTCAGTGGGAGTTGATCACCTGAAGCAAAGTGTCAGCCTTTGAGAATGGAGCCAAATGCTACAGTGTGAGAGTCTTTTTTTCAGGCAGCTTTTCTAGAGATGAAAACTCAAGCCTGATACCTGCAAGTTAGATGCCTGGCTATTGATAGTCTTTGGGCAGGGTTTGTCCTGTGTATATCATTGCCATCCTTCTGGTTTTCTGCAGAACTCAATGCGGGAGTTCCTGGTCTCTCTGGAGTTCTGTAGGGCAGATTTGCTATTTGATGATATCCCTTTCCATGGACATTCTGAACTGACTTGTTGATTGAGGGCCTGAGGCTTCCTGAAGTGAATTTGTAGTAGACTTCATAGACTGTGACGCACTGTGTGGTGGACTTTGTATTGGACGTTTCGTATCTACTGTGCTGTGCACACATGCAGCCCTCATCACAGCAGTTCCAGATAGCGTTGTCTCCATCATGTGACTGAGGCTCGTTTCATACACCTTCCCGATTCTTACTGATGACTTCCTACTGGAGCTTGAATACCATCTGGGGTCTGTGTGCTTTCCAAGTATAAATGTGTAATCATTTACACGTGCAGTACTTCAAGTACAGCACTTCAGTTTATTTAGATTGGAGGTATGGGAGGAGGGCTCTCGACTGGATGACAGCAAGGGTTTAGTTGGGTGAAGAGGTAGATCAAGTCCTATATGCCAAAAACTAGGCAAGGTAAAGGGTTCTATTTGAATGCAAAGAGATGGTTCAGGCAAGTTTCAGAATTTTGAGTCTTGTATACCTGGGTCAAGGACCTGAGAGTCTTTGCTTGGGGTGGAAGAACTGATATCATAATCCCCTAGGGAAGAGGACTTTCTTCCATCCTCAAACGTGTACACACACATCTTTCACTTGAGAATCGCTTCTGTAAGATGCGGCAGTGCTGTGAGCAGCTGAGGCGAAGCAAGCAGCCTCCGGAGCGCAGAAGGCTGAGGAGGGCCTGATTCCTCAAGCCCCGAGAGCAGTGACCTCTGGCGTGTTAGCCTTATGTGACAATGCACTAACCGTAGGGGTAAAATGCAGGAGGAAGTAGGAAGCATGGGTATTAGTAACATTTGAATAAACAGATAAAAACCACCCATGGATCTTTGTGGAACTGATGATATAAACATTCTTTTTTCTGTCTTTTATGTAGATGACATACGAAGAAGGAAAATACCTTTCAGTGTTCGTAGTCAATCTGTTCCTTTCATTGGCCTTTTAAAAAATTAACTTCTATGTATGAATATTAGAAGTTTCTGTGGTGGGATGATAATTATAGTTATTTTTTATCACTGTCCTTTTTGTGACAAGAGTTAAAGTTCTTTGTTAAAGTATTGGTACAAACTAAAGGTAGAGATGGGAAATAGGAAAATAAGAATGCACATATAAAATTGTGCAAGGATTGTGGGGAAAAAATGTAGACTCTTATGTCTTAAATAGTTAGTATAGTGTGGAATCCAACTTTGGCCATCAGTGTTCTGGCAGCCAGCCCCAAAATACAATGTTCTCTGAACAGTTGCTGAAGTATAGATTAGATCAACAAGATAGGAATTTCCCCCAGGGATTTCTGTATAAAAGGCAGCCACTTTTTAACATAATAAATAGCTCCTGGAACCCTGTCATAGAAGGGATTTGTTGAACTTTTCATGTACACTTGAGTGTGCATGTTGATGGGAAGTTAAATACAGCACCTGTTTTAGGTAGATTCGGCTGTTCCTAATCCATGACTTGTATTAATGCACATGAAAATTTCAAGCTAAACCATGAACTGCTGTCATTACACCCCCAAACTTGGCAAGAAACTGATAAGATTTTATTTCAACTTAATATTTTAAAAAATTTAATTAGAGAAAGTTAAGTATATACTTTAAAATAACTTTAAGTGAATAATGCACGGTGTTTTTTTCCTCCCCCCAGTTTAATTTTGTTGGGAGAATCCTTGGACCTAGAGGACTTACTGCTAAACAGCTTGAAGCAGAAACAGGATGTAAGATCATGGTCCGAGGCAAAGGCTCAATGAGGGATAAGAAGAAGGTAAGTCCTTCAGAATGGGGCCATGTGAAGTATAATAATGTACTTATATGTTATAAATGTACTAACACATTTTGAATTTTAATAACAAAATATCTAGATCTTAAAGCACTATATGTTATTTCATGTCAGAAAATTTTTAACTTTTTAAAGGTGGTGTCATGATTTTCTATTTTTGATTATCATTACTTTTCGTTTACCTAGCTAATATCAGTTAATTCATCATATTCATGTTGATTTTTACACTTGAGAAGCTGCCAATTGGGAAGTTAGAGTATTCAACGTTGTATGTGTTAAAGATGTAACTGAACTTTGAAAAATCTAAAATGTTTCTCTTGATGAGATATTTAAATGAGAAGAATCAAATGAATTCCTTTGGATTTATGTCATCTCATCAGGAGAGTGGGTAAACATGGGGGAAGGCTTGTAACTAGCCATATGTGAGTCATCTTTGTTTTTACCAGCATTTCACGTTGAGTTTGTTTTCCAGACATTTTACTTTAAAGTATATTGTTGTTGTTTTCTGCTTTTTTTCCTTTTGCCACTTCTTATTTTTCTAGTTCAGTTGATGAACACCTACTTACCTGCCTTAAATACTGTTTTTTCAGAAGGTTTTATTTGCCTGTTTCCTTTTATCCAGTGATACTATGCGGCAGAATTCTTTGAATTCTATCTGTGTGAAAAATGTTTGACAGATTTTTTAAGAATAACGTAGGTTTTGACTGCCAAAGATTAAATGTATTGTTAGGAAGGGTTTGTTGTGTGTTTGATTTTTAAATACATTGCCTTGAAAGAGACATCAAATGGAGCTGTGGGCAGCTTTGCTGGAGCGTGTTGTGCATTGAATCCCTCTGTGGAGCTTACGGAGTGAAAGCCAAACCTGTAAAGTACTCTGACTTCATTCGGATAGGCTTCTTTTTGAGCTCTGACCTCATTTCATTTAAACTCTCCCATTAGCTGACTGGGTCTAAAGCATTTTTCTCTCCTTACAGATAAATAATGACTTAGTAGTTAAGCTAAGGGGAGAGGCCCTCAATAATACTAATTATCTATAAATTTTATTTTAAGCTGTTCTTGTCAGATGAGTATAAAGATATTTTGAGGAAAGCATGTGCGTTCTCCCTGAGCATATTTAGCAGTTGTATTTAAAACAATCATTTTTATTAGGATCTTAAAATAATTGAATCACTTTGTGACTCAGCTGAGTGGCAGTCTTGTATTGCCATGCAGATTTGGTTCCCATGTTTGCGCTTATGGTTGCTTTGCATTAAGTAATGCTGATTTAATAGCCTAGGTACAATAAGACAAACTCTCAACAACTGAAGGACAAACCTTCACCAACAGATGAGTGTATTCATCAGTTAAACAAGTTGTTGTATCAGTTAACAAAGCATGTTTTGCCCTCTCCTCAGCCTCTACCAGTTCTGTAGTACCGGCCCTCCACTCACACACACACATTGAGGAGTAGCGCTTGGAACTCTGTAATGAGACATTGCGAGTGCTGTTTTCGGTCAGGTTGAACTTGGAGCCTGCCATCATTTTCGCATACAGTAGAGTGGTTAAGAGTGTAACCTCTGTAACCGTCTTGCTTTCATTTGAACCTTGCTTCTGTCACTTAGCAGCTTTGTGATTTTAGCAAATGACTTCATCTCTTGGTGCCAGGTGAAGTGGGAGTAGTGAAGTCACTGATGGCTGTGAGGATTACAGAAGTTGTAGAGCACTTAGCATAGTGTTTTTACACATAGTAATCAATTCATGTTAATGCTTGCTCTTTAATAAATTTTCTTTACACTGTTAGTACATTTTCTGTTTAAACTCTTACGTTGTATCATGGAGGAGTACTACAATTTTTTAAGCTTTGGAAATGACAATACTTTGTTGTTGCTTTGTGACCTTTGAATATCCCATATTCTCACAGCTTTTTTGTTTTGGTTCTCTGATGGTTGATGTGTCCATGTTCTGTCTTGTCCACTTTTTTCTTAAGCACAAACAGAAGTGGTTAACACATTATATTTTTTTAATTTGTACTGTTGCCTAATGAAATTAAAAAAACTTTCCAGATTACAGATAATGCATGGAAGCAGTGATTAAGACACCAACAAAATTTTGACTGTAGATTGCATTTTTACTTTTATTAAGTGCTATGGATGAATATACTTTGGGAATATCCAGGTAATTTGAATGGCTACCGTATGTTTGATATTATGGTGAAGAATTTTTGTGTAGACTTATAATGCCAAGAGTGTCTTCTGTAATATTAATTTAAATCTATGCATACTAAATTGTCAACCATGTCATTTTGGTTTACTCTCCTCTGCTCATTGAGTTCATAAAAATGTTAATAGAAGTTACGTCAAAATGGAAGGTACTGTCACTTGTTGCTTGGCTGTTATTTTGAAAAAGAACATGAAAAATAGATGGAGACCAAAAAATATTGAAGTGAATAATAAGGCTGATTGAAGCATATTCCATGTGTTTAAAGGAAGACTAAACTTTTTCGTGCAGAGTTGTCAGTTTATGTAAAAGCTGAGAAAGCTGGAAAATCTTAACTTGTTGACTGACCATGGTATTAATGATGGAATGCTGTTTGCTGATCTCTCAGTAACGGCATGCCATGTCTGTTTTACGGAGTATTTCTCTGCTGTTTGATGAGTACTTGGCATAGAATAGGAACTGGGGAAAAAAAAATCTGAGAAGGGATGAATGTGTAGGTAGTAAATGAAAGACATAGATGTTCCTCTCTCCTTTACCTCCCCAAAGTTTTTATGAATACAGAAAATGATAAATTCTATGTGTTTTCAGTTCTTTGGGAAAGATAGGCAGTACTGTGTCATTCTGATCTGTTGGTTTTAAGCAAGGGAATGAATATGCTACTTTATATTTTTCATTTTCCTGGATTGCTGTTAGTTCAGAATTACGTTGTCATTGTATATAAATACCCAGAGGAATGGTACTGGGTAATTGCAGGAGCCTAAGGACAAGAACTTACTCACACTTCATAACTGACAGGGAGCTGTGCTTGTCTTTCTACTTCCCAGTCCCAGCTGAAAATGTTAGTGCGTGAGATGTCTGCTGCCGCCGTGGTTCAGCTGCTCAGTTGTGTCCAGCTCTTTGTGATGCCATGGACTGCAGCACACCAGGCTCTTTGTCCGCCACTCTCTCTTGGCGTTTGCTAAGATCTGTGTCCATGGAGTCAGTGATGCCATCTAACCATCTCGTCCTCTGCAGCTGCCTCCTCCTGCCCTCAGTCTTTCCCAGCATCAGGGTCTTTTCCAGTGAGTTGACTCTTCCCCATCAGGTGGCCACAGTATTGGAGCTTCAGCGTTATTCCTTCCAATGAATATTCAGGATTGATTTCCTTTAGGATGGACTGGTTTGATCTCCTTGCAGTCCAAGGGACTCTCAAGAGTCTTCTCCAACACTGCAGTTCGAAAGCATCAATTCTTTGATGCTCAGCCTTCTTTATGGCCCACCTGTCACATCCGTACAGGGCTACTGGACATGACCAGGCTATGATCCATGAAAAGGGTGAGCTGTCTACAGTTGATCAAAGTCGGGTGTTGGGTCTTCTGAGAATGTCCAGTGGGACTCAGCAACTCTGGTTAGAGCTCTTTGCTTGAAATGAAGGGATGTGCACTCGGTATCAGATGGCCATTCAAGGGCTGCTGGTAGCAGTGGCCAGATGGTGTTAACCACATTTATGATCTGTTCAGTGTCGTATTCAGACTGTGCAAAAATCTCAAAAGATAATTTTTACTCTTCTAATAGGAATGAAGGCTTAAAAGAGGTCAAGTAACTTATCCAGTCCCTATTTCTAACTGTTAACCACACTCAGTATAAACATGCGTCTTGCTGGACATTGGCATTCAGCTCTATAATTCATTCTCTTCAGAATATGAACTTTGAATTTAAAATTAGAGAGATCTGTTATAAAGGTTTAATTTAGATTTTAATGTATTTCCCAAATATATTTGACCACAGTCTGTCCATTCTGACTGATGTCTTAACTTCTTGAGGAACTACAGTGTTGTATGGACCATGATCTCTGAAGTATTATTAGAGGGACATACTGTCCAATTGCAAACATAGATAGAATTGCATAACTTTTTTATTTGCCACTTTTCATATGCTTACACATTTTTCTCCTATTCTTACATTTCATAGATGTTTTACCTAGTTAATATGTGATGTTTTTAGAAAAGTTTAAAAGTGTATATGATCAGAGAAAAAGTATATCGAGGCACCTGATCCTGTCGCTTTAGAGACTACTCTTGTTGACAATTGTGATGTGTCTAGGAGATCATTCTTCCTGCATTGGTATATACACTTTCACATGTGTTGTAGAAAGTGAGTCTTACTATTCTTGATGCTTTGTAATTAGCATTTCCTGCAGCTCTGTACCCTGTCCTGTCAGTTTAATTGACAAGTAATTGAACTTTATAATGTCTGAGACTTTGTGCTGCACGATAAGAAAACTTAAAAGATAGCTTAAGGCAATATTAGCAGTATATGCAAAAGTTAATTTGCTTGTATGGAGGAAACTTAGACTTTTATTTTTAATGAAGGATGTTATTGCTTTCTCAACACTTTGAAAATGATCAAATTGATACAGTTTTTTTTGGTTTGACATACTAAAGTGGTTGTGATAGCCAGTGACATAACATCAGGCACAAACATGGTCTAGACAGCCCACTTTATTAATCTTGTTGAATGCTAGACTTCTGACAACCTGGAGCATAAGTGTAGTTTATTAAAACGACAACAACCAGAAAAACAGCTTTGCTCATGGCAGATTCTAAGCACTGTTCATTCATCTCCCAGCGTCGCACTGCCTGTCTCCTTTCATGTGTGCCTGGTTACCCCCGTCCTCCTTGCCCCTCTGTCTGCCGGATGGTCTGGGCCACAAGTTCCGGACATCATCTCAAGCTGGAGATGCTGTATTAGGTGTTTCTAAAATAGAAGGGCTCTTCAGCGCTGTCATGTTTGTGTTTTTTTTTTTTTTT